GGGGTCGGAAAAACTCATACTTGAATTAACTTCTGAAGCACTCTCTGCCTACACACACATATGGCTTTCGTGCACAAGATCGTTTTTGGGTATGACTGACTCTCGGCCACTTTTCTTTTGCTTTTTAGGAGTAGAATTAGCATAGTTCTCTTAGTTATTTCTTTTAATCACGTAGTTATATTACTTTGATATTGTAACTCTGGAACATTATGCAAGTTGAACCATGATTTGTATTGCAAGTATCTTAATTATTCATTCTGTTCATCTTAGCATTTATATGTATGAAAATTATTGCTTGTTAATTATGGAAGAATCTTTAGAAACAAGGAATTACTAAAGTTGTTCACTCCTTTTCCTGTTCTTAAATCAAAAATCCTAAATTGAAACCATTTACGTGCTAGTTCGAGTAAAAAGAACCCTTAAACGTTTTTTCACCGTAAACAATAGCTTTAGTTACTCTATCCAAAATTTATTCAGCGTCAGCATCATAATAGTGAACCACTATAATCGGTATAATTAATTAAGGAAATTGAATAAATTTATAAAGATTTAAGTTGATTATTATATATTTAAAAAGATTAATGGTTAGAAAAAAACGTGTCAATAGTGAATTAAATCTTCTACGTCAACATTCAACAGATATAATCTAAATAAGAAACACAAATTATATTGAGAGTGAGAGAGTGAATGATGGATGATTAAAGGGTTTTGTAAAGATGTAGCAGTGAGTAAGAAGAGTAATAGGTGTCAAATTGTGATTTGTCAAGTTGCATTGTGTTGTGTTATTGTACATCATTTCCAATAATCCCACTTTGTCCACATTCTTCGCTCTTCTTTTTCTCTCTTCCTCTGCCCTATGTCAATTGTCAAACCAACACCATCATCTCTCTTTATTTATATATATAAATAAATTAAGATCATCAACCTCTTCACAAGGACCATATACTTCTTCGTTTACCTTCATACACATATATATTATATTATAATAATGTAGCTTCAGCCATCCTAATTTTTATCTATTGGCTAAAATCCTTTCCCTAAATTCAACTAAGTTGATACGAACGTATGAATTTGAAAGCTAAATCATAAATAAAACACATGAATTATAAGTAAAAGGTCAATTACAACTCAATCCCAATTATGTGAGTAATAAGTCCTACAAGAAAATATAAGTCCATAAAAAAGTAGCTCTTTAACCATATTAATAAAAAGAAGAAAAAAAAAGGCTGAATCTGAAAATTTCTCAAAACCCTGTTTTTTTTTTGTTCGTCCCTAGAGTATCCACCGCCGACAGCAGTGACTAATCTCCTCGCTACGTTGGAGGCACCTCAAAGGGTGGGATAGCTGGTCCCAAGATTTAACGCGGCTGCATACACAAGGCAGGATTCGAACTCCTGACCTTGCTTAAGCATGGATCAACCCCTACCGCTGAACCACACGCTTGTGTTAAAACCCTGTCTTTTTTAAAACTCTGGCCTTGGGTAACTCGACTTTTATATATATATATATATATATATATATATATGATATGA